GATAGGAATCGGGTTGGGGATCGAGCGTGGCAAACGACGTGGAGGTAGAAAAGAACGGGACGGGAAAATGTTGGCAGTACTGGAAGGTGAAGGACAGGAAGATGAAGAAACTGAGGAGTTAGAGGGCAGTATAAAGTAAGAGCAAAAAAAAAATAAAATAAAATAAAACGACGATGATGGTGATGATGTTGCTGGAGATGACAAGATGATGATTATGATTATGATGATGGAGGGTGGAAGGTGGAGAGGAAAAAGAAGGGGAGAGGGGGGACCGGGATGGAAAAAAAAAAGGGGAGAAAGAAGGTTAGTGCTGTTGTTCAATTGCAAAAAAGCACCAACGCGATAGTTCATATAGTATTAGTGCAATAGGACAGATGTACTTTTACTAAAGGACCGGCGAACTAACTGAAAAATAGCATCCCAATCACCTTATTAACTGATAGCCGTCTTCCCATCAAAAAATACTAATTATTTTTACATCCTCATTTACATCCACGCATTCCTATTTGCTTTTTATTTTTCCCAAGCTTTTTTTTTCTTCTGGTTGCTATTCTGTTTGTCTTGTTTTTTTTTTTTCTTTTCTTGTCCGTTTTCTCCAGATGAAACAACTCTGGTCTTTTTTTTTTTTGCTTTCTCGTATTTTTTTCTCCTACCATTGAGGTCTTGTTTGATCGTTGTTACTGCCTGACTGGGTAGTGCGGAAGATCCATTTCATTTTCAGCTACGTCTCAACGACCATAAAATGTGACCAGGGGTCGATCAGTTGGATAGCAGATTAAACAAGCTGAAAATTACTGAGGTTCTTTAGACTGGAATTTGGCAAAAAAGTGAAGCTAAAAGGTGAGAAGAAAAAGTGACAAAAAAGGCGGAGGGAGAACTGGAAGGGCGGGATAATAAAAGGAGATGAAAAATGGAGGCAAAAGGGAAGACCAGGTAAAATAAAGAAGGAAGAGGGGAGGTGGGCAAAAGAGTAAGCGGTAAGACCAAGGAAGGATGTGCCGGACGTCTAAATTTAAAAGCACCAAATACCAGCACATGGAAAGTTAGAGCTTAAAAAATTCTGAAACAAAAAACCCAAGCAACAACGGCAACGGCAACAGACTGAAAGAAAAAAATTGACAATGACGATGAACATTAAAAAAAAATTGAAGAAAAGTAAATGTTTTTGTTTTCTGATTCAATATAATTTTTTTACTCTAACAAAGTATTCTTGGTTTAAAAAATCGCTTCTTTGCTTTTTATCATCTTTTTTTTCTTCTTTTCGTGTGTGGAGAGTTAGTGTAATATAATTGCAATAATGGTTAAAATTGAACGGGGGGGGGGTGAGAGGGGTAGAGGGGA